AAATCAAACAATGAAATCAAATCTTAATATTTGAATGCATGTAGGATCGTCGAACAAATTCAGTGGGTTGTCGAACAAATTTAGTACAACAATCAATCCTCCTTACCCACAAGCTGTTGAGTTGAAATCATGGTATTATGCATGTATTCCTTTGTGAATTATGCATCTGTAGAAGCATATTGTTGATATGATGCATTAATATATACAAGAACAATTTTTTTAAATTTTATCTACCTTGTAAGGCCAAAACAATTGAACCAATGCTTAATGCATACAAGATAGAGAGTACATCTTCCACAGGCTATGTTATGGTGGTTCCCTTTGAGGATGAAACTATAGCTGTTTCCAATGTCCAAGCGCAACCTCAAGTAAGAACAACATAAATTATATTATTCTATCGAAATTAAATTATTTTTTGTAGTCAAAAAAAAAATATGTGGCATTCTTGAATTATATAGGGACATGTATTTTATCTTGAAGCTGAACTTTTTCTGCCAAATGAGAATCAACGATTTTGTGTGTTAGCTTGTTCTGACTGCAAGCAATATTTCACGAGATCTTTCTCTCGGAGGATAATTTATTGTACAAACTGTCAACGATCCACTCATCTAATTCCAAGGTATAAATGCTACTAGATTCTTTTATATGACTAATGACTATTTAGAGTTTACAATTATTTTGTTTTTATTCATCTAACCAAATATTTGCTCTACATTATAACTGATGTCAATCTGAAGTCACTGTTAGAGACAATAGTAGTTTTGCAACAGCCATTATTTCTGACAAACCTGCCGAGAAAATATTTTGCCTCAGCTCAGAAGAAATTTATGACATCTACCATGTCAAGGTACATATTTCATATTACTATTAGCTTCAAAAACATACAAATGGCAGAATGACCCTCTTTTGATGCGTAACTAACCAATTTCGTCCTCCCAGAAACAAATTTTACCTCTTGCGGATGTGCAGAAAGATATTCAAAATTCAAATGAAAAAATTATTTACAAAATATCATGATACAGTGCAAAAGTTGTCCATTTTATCTTACGTGAACAAAGACAATGAGATCCACCAAGAGTTCCCACCAACCATGATGGATGTTGCCGAGGGGAGAAAATGCAAAATTGAACGCCTTGGCTTGGAGGGAAGAGAAGCTCAAGAGACAACTAACAAAGACAATGCTTCCTACTACAAGCGGGGCTTGGAAACATGGACTCCTCCTTTAAAAAAGTAATTGTAAGGTATTTGAACTTTTTAATTAAGTTGTTGTTCTTTCATGTGATCATATAATTAATTTTAAGATGTAATTAATATGATAGTTCTAAAAAATAGATCAACACATGTGTAGTTCCTACGTACACTTGTTCTTGCACCTCTTTGCATTATTTAATTTTCTCTTGGAACGTTCTAGCAATTTTAATCGATGTACAACATATTTACTTAATTGCACTCGCTCTATTAGTTGAAGCTGAAGCCACATTTTGCTGCTGTTTTGGGACGCATTTGAAGGCATTTTGCTGCTTTTTTGGATGCGGTTAGAGCCATAGTTATGTTGCTGCTTTCTACCTACGGTTAAAGCTAATCTTTTGGTGGTGTGATATTAGGTTAGTTTACCTATTTACTATCTGCCTATTATACTATCCCATCTCCCGTATTACTCAATTAATCTAATTCTTCATGGTTTATTAACATGTCAATACAGAATGATCTAAGAAAAATTCACCATGTCTTCCTCATTATTGAAAATGCTTTTAATAAAGACAAAACATGAAAAAAAGACAGAAACATGTCTTCAATCTTCACTTCCCCTAATTCTTGCTCTTGGCCAAGGACGAAGTCTTTTCAACAGTTGAGCATCGTCATTTTCTTAAACTATTGAACATGCTAAGAGTGGCCATAAAAAACCTCATATTCAACTTGTGGCACGCCTCATTCTCCCCAATATCTGAAGAAACTAGTTGTACTCTTAAATGTTGATACTGAGCATAATGAGCTCTAAGTTTACCATCATTCTACTTTTTACTCGGGAAAAATGTGATGTCTTTGTTTTATCATACACAACTTCTATTTTGTCCTTCAACATCACGCCGTATTCAAAGGGGATAGTGCAATTGTATGCAACATAAGTTTAAGGCCAAAGCATGGAGTAGTTGTACTAAACTTCTCAATTCCTTTAAGTATCATGCATGTGTGACTTTCTTCTACCACTACCATTATATCTTCCCCTAAAAGGGATGAAATGGCCTCGGCTATCTACCTGGTAAGCCTCTCCTGTACTTGCAGTTTGAAGCGTTTAAAATGTATGATTGATTGCAATTCACTTCTTCCAATGGAATTAAGTTCATTTGAAGAGTAATAACCTATATGCACAGCACCTTGTAAAGGAAGTAAATGTGACCACTTCAAGAAACGATATGGAGTACCTGCAAGCTCTTTCCTAGATGGGTCTTCCCCCAAAGATTTAAGTATTGAAACAACTGCATTGGTCATAGTTTCAAGACCGAGATGGGCACCATGATTGGTCAAACACACCAGGATTGGTGTTTTCTTTGCTTATACTTCTGAAAATTAGAGGACTTAAAAATAGAATTTGTCTACACTCTACCTGTTGAATCACAATGTGATTTGCATTACAATTGAGATTAATTAATAGGGCTATAAGATAATGTCTCTCTAAATTTTGCTGCTTCTCTTTTTTTGGGTGTGTTTGTGTGTTTCATTATCCTTCTATTAAAGGAGTTTGTTCTTTAATGAAAAATTAACGTGCTTTGCCTAAGGATATTGTATCATAAGGATTGTTTGATCAATAATGGTGTAACAGAAGGCCTACTTATGCTAATCTTGTAGGGAGGCATCATCCCACACTGAAAAAGCGCTTTAGAAAAAATCGGTTGCATTGATATTACGCTAAAACTTAATTCATTATGTTATATAGGTATTGAAACTTGGTATTTTTCTGTGATTTTGCGATGTCATTGCAGATGTCAGTACTTTTGTTGCAGTACAAAGAAGAAGAACAATTACAGTATGGACAAAGAATCACCTTTTGTGAATATAGATACTCTCATGGATGTAAATATTATGCCACTTTCAAAGTAAAATGCATCTTTTTTTGTTGATATGTAAATACCAATATGTTTATATATGTATATTTAGTATTCTCATAGATGTGAATACCGTGTCTCTTCAATGATGTCTCAACTTCTGTCCCTTCTTTTCAATTTCATATCAAAATAAATTAATCACAAATAGTAATTTCATATTCTACAGTATTGGGCCCATGCTATGCACGGGCAAAAGCCATCTAACCAGCTGATTTGTACATAGTACCTTCAATGGGTCGCCAACATAGTCATGGTGAAAAAGAACAATGGGAAGTGGCTGATGTGCGTAGACTTCACAGACTTGAACAAAGACTGCCCATAAAACTCATTCCCACTACCCCATATTGACCAGTTCATTGATGCAATAGCCAGGCACGAGCTATTAAGATTTTTGGACGCCTATTGGGGCGACAACTAGATCCTCATGGAGGAGGAAGACCAAGAAAAGACCACTTTAATCACTCACCCGGGACGTACTCCTATAGAGTGATGCCTTTTGAATTGAAAAACGTGGGCGCAACATATCAGAGGTTGGTGACAAAAATGTTCAAAGACCAGCTCGAAAAAACCATGGAAGTCTAAATTGACGACATGTTGGTCAAGTCAAAAAAGAAAGAGGATCACATCAACCACTTGAAAGAGGCCTTCGACATACTCAGACGATACAACATGAAATTGAACCCTGAAATGTGTGCCTTCGGCGTAATTTCGGGAAAGTTCCTCGGCTTCTTGGTATCACAACGAGGCATCGAGATCAACCCCGACCAAATCAAAGCTATAGAAGGAATACCGGAGAACCTAACCAGTAAGAAACAAGTATAGAAGTTGACCGATCGCATAGTCGTCCTGTCGAGATTCATCTCACGGTCCTCCGACAGATTCCATAAATTTTTCGGCGTACTCAAGAAAGACAATGGAACTCTGAGTGCGTCGAAGCCTTGAAAGAGTTAAAGGTGTACCTATCTTCACCCCCATTGCTCTATAAGGCGGCTGGGGAACGTCTCCTCATCTACATAGCCGTGTCCGATGTGGCCATGAGTACGGTCCTGGTCCGAGAAAACAAAGGTCTGCAATCTCCCATTTACTATGTTAGCAAAAATCTAGTTGACGCCGAGTTAGGGTATCCACACCTCGAGAAGCTGGCCGTGGCTTTGGTCGTAGCTTCATGAAAGCATAAACCCTATTTCTAGTGCCACCCAATCTCGGTAGTCACGACCTTTCCCCTGAGGAGTATTCTGCATAAACCCGAGCTGTTGGGTAGATTGGCTAAATGGGCCATAGAATTGAGCGAGCACGATATAACCTATCAGCCGTGAACGATGATAAAGTCGCAAGTGCTTGCCGACTTCATCGCCGACTTCAGCATAAAAATAATGCCTGAAGTCGAAAAGGAAGTCGCTCGTACTTACCCCAAAATACATGACCTATGGGTTTTATATACCGATGGCACCTCTAACGCGTCGGGATCGAGACTGGGGCTCATGCTCGAGGTCCCAACAGGCAAAGTAATTCGCCAGTCCATAAGATGCCCAAATATGATTAATAACGAATCCAGTACGAGGCTACGATTACAGGGCTAAAGTTAGCACTCAGGAACGAAGTGAGTCGTCCTACGGTGCGACTCTCAGCTCGTCGTCAACTAAGTCGCAGGGACTTTCCAAATCAAGGAACAAAGACTGCAAAAATACCAGGACGAATGCCAGCTCGACCAAATCCCTCGAGCACAGAATATCGAAGCAGACGGCCTGGCCAAACTGGCAGCGACCACTAAAAGCGTAACCAGCGAAGGGAACGTGGCCACTTGTCACGACCCTGAACCCGGACCCGGTTGTGATGGCGCCTCTCGTGAAGACAAGGCCAACCGACACATTCCCAATTTATTTTTAAGCAATTAAGTAATAAAACCAAGTCATAAGATAATAATACAGTTGCGGAATAGACATAGCCCGATATCGGGGTGTCACCAGTCATGAGCATCTATCATAACAACTACAAGTCTGAAACGAGTCTACACAACTATTACGTAACTAAAACAGAAGGAAATAAGATAGAGGGAGAAGCACCGGGCTGCGAATCGCTGGGCAGCTACCTAGTGAATCTCCGAAATCTTCTGGAAGCTCTCTCAACCCTCACAAGCAGGACCTGATGCACCTGAATCTACACACGGGGTGCAGGGAGTAAAGTGAGTACTCCAACTCAGTGAATAATAACAATAAATGAAGACTGAGCGATACAAAATCACGTTAAACACAACAATATGCTATAAGAGGCAGAGTAAAATCAGTAAAGTACAATTAAACATTGTAATCTCATAAAGCACCTTGTAAGCAGTTAAACAAGTAAAAGAAAGCAGCTAGAAAAGGTAAACACATAAGAACCGCCCCTCGGGCATAATAACAACAGAATCATCCCCTCGGGCAATAACATAGAACAATACCAGCCCCTCGGGCTATATCTCATATCACAATGGGTACCCGCGCTCACTGGGGGTGTACAGACTCCGGGAGGGGCCCCTTACGGCCCAACCGTAATATCAAGCGATCTCGTGGCATAATCACATAGGCTCTCGGCCTCATATCAACAAGCCACCTCGTGGCGTACAAATCTCAGGCCCTCGGCCTCATAATCATAATCAGTGTATCACCGCTGCAGCGTGCAGCCCGACCCAAAAGAATCCTCACAACACAGGCCCTCGACCTTACTCAGTCAGAATCTCATAAGCCACTCGGGCAACAGTAAAACATGATGCTCAGCTCAAAGTATCTTTCAAAATATCATTTAAGGTGTTAAAATAGAGTAATCATGGCTGAGTTATGAAAATAGTAAAATATAGCATGACTGAGTACAAGTATAAAGTCAAAATAGTGAGGAAATGGCAGTAAAAATCCCCTAAGGGTACAAATAGTTGGCACGAAGCCCAAATATGGCATTTAGCCCAAAACATGATAACATCAAACAATTGACAATCAAAAACGCAGTAAAACAGTCATTCGGGATGGACCAAGTAACAAATCCCCAACGATGCATGACCCCACGCTCGTCACCTAGCGTGTGCGTCACCTCAACATAGCACAACGATATGTGATCCGGGGTTTCATACCCTTAGGACAACATTTACTATCATTACTCACCTCGATCCGGTCCAAACTCTAGCCCGCGATGCCTTTGCCCTCTCGAAATGACCTCTGGAGGCTCCAAATCTAACCAAAATCAGTACATAACCATTAAAATATGCTAAGGGAGCAAAGCCCACTCGAAAATATCCAATTTACATCCAAAATCCCGAAATTGCTCAAACCCGGCCCCTGGGCCCACATCTCGGAATTCGATAAAAATCACAAAAGTAGATTGCTTACACTCTCACGAGTTCATACATGCCGAGAACATCCAAATCGGACATAAAATGCCCATTCAAATTCCCAAAAGAATTCTCAAACTTTTCTTCCATTTTTTCCCAATTTCCACTCTAATTTCTCAAATTAAATGATGAAATTCAAGACTAAATCATGGAATTAAGCCAAATATGAGTGAAGAATACTTACCCCAATAGCTCCACTGAAAATCTCCTCAAAGATCACCTTCTCCCGAGCTCTCCAATGGCTTTTATGATATAGGACTTAAACCCTCGATTTTAAAATATAAACTGTCTGCCCAGTTATTTCTTCACCGCGAATGCGGCATATCCTTCGCGTTCGTGAAGCACACCGCTTCACAGACCGGAATTCCTTCTACGCGAAGGCGAGAACCCTCTCGCGAACGCGATGCACAGCTGACTTAACACTTCGGGAACGCGACTTCTACTACGCGAACGCGTAGAACAATCGCCTTGGTGACCCAGCTACTCCTCTTCCTCTATGCGAACTCGACATAAGCCTCGCGAACGCGGAGAATCACAGTATCACAACATCGCGAACGCGACACACGAAGCACGAACGCGAAGACAAAATTCGCCGCCTCAGAGAACACCCTTTGCGAACGCGAGTCCCTGACCACAAACGCGGAGAACAAATCGTCTAAAACAAAAAACCAGCAAAAACAGCCAAGTCCAAAGTCCAAAATTGATCTGTTTAACCATCCGAAACTCACCCGAGGCCCTCGGGACCTCAACCAAACATGCCAACATATCCCATAACCTCATTCAAACTTGTACCAACCTTCGGAACGCTCAAAACAACATCAAAATACCAAAATCACATCGGATTCAAGCCTATGAATTCCAAGAACTTCCAAATTCCGCTTTCGATCAAAAAGTCTACCAAACCTCATCCGAATGACCTGAAATTTTGCACACACATCAAAAATGACACAATGAACCTACTCCAACTTCCAGAATTTCATTCCGACCCCTATATCAAAATCTCCCCTATCAACCAGAAAATGCCAAAATCTCAATTTCGCCAATTCAAGACTAAACCTTCCACGAACCTCCAAAATACATTCCGATCATGCTCCTAAGTCCCAAATCACCTAACGGAGCTAACCAAATCATAAAATTTCTGATCCGAGATCATATACTAACAAGTCAAAACTTGGTCAAACCTTTCAAATTTTAAGCTTCAAACTGAGAACTGTTCTTCCAAATTCATTCTGATCACCCTGAAAACCAAAACCGACGATTTACATAAGTCATAATACATCACACGGGGCTGGCCATGCCCGAGAACTGGCGAACAAAGTGCAAAAGCTCAAAACAACCGGTTGGGTCGTTACATCACTCTTCTCCACTCGTCAATCGATCAAATCGAGGTACAAACTATAAACCTAATATGGGACTGGCGCAATCGTATTGTCACATATTTGCAGGACAGAGTGCTTCCAGGCGATAAAAAAGAATCCAAGAAGCTTCGAATGCTGGCGGCCAGGTACAATATCATCCACAATGACTTGTACAAAAGAACATAGGGTGGCCCCCTAGAAAAATGCTTAGGCCCAAACCAGACGCGGAGTGTTCTAAGGAAGTCCACGAAGGTCACTGCGGAGCTCATACCGGCAATCGAGCTCTAGTCAGATGCCTCATACAAGCAGGCTACTACTGGCCCACAATGAAAAACGAGGCTGCTGGCTTCGTAAAAAATGCGAAGAATGCCAAAGATATGCCCCCATGATCCACCAAGCGGGCGAGCAACTCCACTCAGTCACCTCACCTTGGCGTTTCATCAAGTGGGGGATGGACATCGTCAGACCCCTACCAGCGGGACGAGGTTATGTACGATTTTTCCAAGTGGGTGGAAGCAGGTGCATTCGCCCAAATACGCGAGCAAGAAGTGATCACCTTCATATGGAGGAATATCGTGTGTAGTTTCGGCCTCCCTAAAGAAATCAGTTGTGACAACGGGCCTCAGTTCACTAGAAAAAAGATCGCTGATTTCTTCGAGAAATGGCATATCAAAAGAATACTCTCCACGCCATATCATCCCGCGGGCAATGGACAAGCGGAGTCCTCCAACAAGTCAATATTGAATATCATAAAGAAGAAGCTCGAGAACGCAAGGGGATTGTGGCCGGAGTTGCTGCCGGAAGTGCTATGGGCATACCGCACAATGCCAAAAACAAGCACAGAAGAAACACCGTACTCACTGGTCTATGGAACCGATGTAGTAATACCGGTCGAGGTCGGAGAACCAAGTCTAAGGTGCTCTGACGAAAGCGGGCAGAGAAACGACAAAAGCAGGAGACAAGACCTCGACGAGGCTGAAGAACGAAGGGACATGGCATGCATAAGGATGGTCGCCCAAAAACAACAAGCAGAGCGATACTACAACAAAAAAGCCAAGATTAGACCACTCAAAGTCGGAGACTACGTACTCAAAGCCAAAACACAGACAAGCAAAGATCAAAGAGAAGGAAAGCTAGGGATTAACTGGGATGGCCCGTACAAAATTACGGCGGTAGCAAGCAAAGGGTCGTTCCGACTAGAAACGATGGAAGGAAAACTACTACCAAACAACTGGAACATCGCCCACCTCAAGTACTTCAACTTATAAGGAAAGATGTTCTCCAAGCCGTACTCTTTTTCCCTCACCTGAATTTGTCTTAATTGGGTTTTCTCAGAGATGTTTTTAATGAGGCGACGAGGAGGACATTTCAAAGTTAAGCATAAGCAGGTGAGAATACACGTTAGCAAGTTTATTGCGACCCCTCGAATACTTCTCCAGGTCAAACAATAAAGGGACTAGGTAGACTGGGACTGGAACACCAGCCCGAAAACTATGTAAACTTATCCAATGTATATATGTAAGAAAAGCATACAAGCACATGATGTCCGCCTATGTCTCCACCAATTTTTAACACTGCGCCAATCAAGATACTCCCATTCGACCTCGTTCGAATTATCTAAGAGTAACATTGGACCTCGCTCGAATCAACTCACATTCGACCCCGCTTGAATCAACTCACATTCGACCTCGTTCGAATTAATTGAGAGTAACATTCGACCTTGCTCGAATCAACTCACATTCGACCTCGTTAGAATTAATTAGGAGTAACATTCGACCTCGCTCGAATCAACTCATTCGACCTCGTTCGAGTTAATTAAGAGTAATATTCAACCCCGCTCGAATCAACTCATATTCGACCTCGTTCGAATTAATTAAGAGTAACATTCGACCTCGTTCGAATCAACTCACATTCAACCTCGTTCGAATTAATTAAGAGTAACATTCGACCTCGCTTGAATCAACTCACATACGACCTCGTTCGAATTAACTAAGAGTAATATTCGATCTCGCTCGAATCAACTCACATTCGACCTCGTCCGAATTAATTAAGAGTAACATTCGACCCCACTCGAATCATCTCACATTCGACATCGTTCGACTTAATTAAGAGTAACATTTGACCTCGCTCGAATCAACTTTAATTCGACCTCGTTCGAATTAATTAAGAGTAACATTCGACCTCGTTCGAATTAACTAAGAGTAACATTTGACCTTGCTCGAATCAACTCACATTCGACCTCGTTCAAACTAATTAAGAGTAAAAATCGACCTCGCTCGAATCAACTCATATTCGACCTAGTTCGAATTAGTTAAGAATGACATTCGACATCGCTCGAATTGAACTTATATTCAGCCTAGCTCGAACTTGATTCAAAGTTAACCCCGTTCGAATTAATTATCACAACGTTTGACTTTGCTCAAAATAATCAAAGACACTCA